ATTGCTTCTTTGCATTGCACCACTGAGGACGAGGCGAGTAAAGGTAATTGTTCTATTTTAAAATAGTTATTTTGCATTTTTTATTAGTAGACTAGTTTAATAGGGTCAATAAAGTCCACTATTGTCACTTGCAAACTGAGAACAGCGTGTCTTTGAAGGCGTGTCTTTGAAAGCCCTGGCCACCAGCACGCGCTTCAGGCCTTCCGCCGTGCTTTGTCTGTGCTTACGCTCGGGGTGCGCGAGACGCCGCAGGGTTGTCAAGGGTAGAAAGCTCGCGTTGGAGGCGGGACAACTGAAGCTCCTTTCTACCGTTGTGACGTTGTCAAAGACTATTCAGAAACCTGGTGATTTTTGACATCTAGTCAAAAAGTACAAAGTTGAATAAAAGAAGTCAACAGAATGTCTGTAGCGTTTCATTTCACGCTGACTACAGAGTTACCTGAACATTTTCAACACAAAATAAAGACACCGTCTCCAATCTTTCTGCCAACATTGTCAACAGGAAGCCAGCAGAAAAACATGAACAGGGTGTAAATAGAGAGTCAAGAACTTTGCTTCTGACTAAGGTTGAGGAAAATCGTCAGAAAATTTTCAACACAATATCAATAAAATGTTTGTTGATCATCCATGTCAGGAGGAAGTCATAGTAAAAAGGAATTAACTAAGTCAACACGAAGTCAAACGTATTCAATAAAAAAAAAACACGAACGAGGGACCTCGGCACGCTGCTAGACAGCGCAACTGTCCCCCCCCCCCCCCCCCCCAAGGAAAAACGCACACACACGCACACTTTGGGTGGCATATGCGACCGAACGTTGGGACACGAAAGCTTTTTTAGTTCGGCAGGAGACTTAGGCGTTCGAGTTGGATATTTGGGGGGGGGGGGGGGGGGGGATATATTCCCGACTATTGTGATCGTCGCACGTAGTAAGGCTCCTGCCTCCACCACTGTAAATGGGAAATAAGTTTGTTAATATAAATATTAATATTATCATTATTATTATCTGAGTTGCAAGAATTTTGCTTAACGTGCCTGTTAATCCAAAATTTATTAGCGGGCCTTTACTGAGCATCGATCGAAACGTTAAAGTCGTTCTGGTTTCGTTTTTTTTTGCAGCGCGTTGTACTGGTGCCGTTCGGGCGAGACGCTGCTGGGAGTGTCCATCACGTTGGCCACACTGGGAGGAATCGCTGAGGGCCTGTACGCCGTCAGTTTGTACACAGCGGCGGCGGCACTTTATCCTCGCAACACTGGAGTGGCAATAGTACGTTAAATACGAGGCAGCTGAACATCTAAAAAAGATCGATCTCCATAAATAATAAAGCACGAATCATCCTAAAAACAAAATGTTATGTAACATATTTACCAAGCGATTTTAACGCTTCTCTTTTTTGTTTCGTTTGAAATGCGTATTAGACGTGTTTATAGTATAAGAACCTCCCCGTATCAAGCTGTTTGCGAATACGATTATAGACTTATAAATCACAGACAGAGTTTTTATGCAAGGTGGTTACCTCAGGGTCGACAAAATTGCCAACAGACATCGAAAGCTTAAAAAGCTTTCGATGTCTGTTGGCATCGAAGCCTGAAGCCTGAAGCTTAAAAAGCTTTCAGGCTTCTTACTTCGCGGAGCGGTTGAAAGATACGAGGCACTCGCTACGCACCGCATTTCTTAAAATCTCGGTGACCGTAGGAGAGAGTGCGGTCTGGTTATGTTACCTAACCTTGACGTTCGTGGCGGTTTTTCAATGAAAACGTGTCATAACTGAATGTCGAGCTTCAGTCGTGTAAAATCTTAGCACTTAAAGTAAAAGAAAAAAAAAAAACAGAAAAAAAATAATACGTGTTTTTTTTCTATTTTTTATGGCGGGGCACTCGCAGAGATAATCCTCGGGATTTACTGAGAGCTCGGTACTCAAAGGAATTTGAAACATATTAAAACATAAAATTAAATGTGCAATATATCGTTGAATATTCCCTGAGTTTGTGCAACGTCAGGCGGAGTGTAATATGCTTGTCTTAATTTTTAGATCTGAAAATACGATCAGCCATGTCGTTCGCCAAGCCCCCTCCATACGTCGAAGGGATTAGGGATCTGTGTGCTTTCCAGGAAAGTAGACACACTGGCCTCGTCAGAGTGATTATAACGCATATTGCAATAACACGCGCGAAGCAACAGTTTGGTTATAATGAAATTTCCTTTATCAAGACATGAGGGAAACAGCAAGCGCTCAAAGAACGAAGACGGGTGAGAATAATTCATTGGACAGTACACGCACTTACTTTCGGCAATTGAGAGTCTGCACATTTTCTGCTTTGTTTCTTATTCTCTGTCTTCATTGTTTGCGGGTAGTATATTCCTTTACGTGACGACGATCCAAGTCGTTTAAACTGACACCTTGAATCTCCCTCGATTTTCGGGTAAATATACCTCCGCAATTGCACATTTCATTTCATTTCATTTATTTACCTCAAGGGCGTCTTTGAGGACGCATTACATGAGGGAGGTAGGTGGTACATGCATTTGTAACAACAGCTCAGCACAGTTTACAAAAAAGGAAGTCACATCGTACGTACACAACTGCATATTGAACTGGACGTAACTATGTATAAAACAAAAATTTCAATATGGAGAAACGGAAAGTGACTATGAAAACACAAGCATGTACGTGTCGTCGTGTACTATACATGCCACAGGCGCTCGCACATTGTTTTCAATTCAACAGTATTTGTGTTAGTAACCATCTCGTCTGGCATGTTATTCCATTCAGTAATCGATAAAATTAAGGGTGAAAACAAAAAGGAATTAGTGTGTGACTGGTATTGCTGTACCTTATATGAATTATCGGTTTTAGGAGAAATGTAATGTGCGGAATGACAATAGGTGTTTTTAAAGCACGAGTTGCTGTAGTATAAGTCATGAGAGAAACATATGCGGTAAATATTGCGCCGGGTAGACAATGGAGTGAGACCCAAATTTGTTTTTAAAGCTGAATGAGGCGAAAAGTCATTTGAAATGAACCGGGCTGCTTTACTTTGGACATATTCTAATTTAGAAGAAAGATAATATTGATGCGGATACCATATGATGCTTGCATATTCAATCATTTTCTTGCAACAAACAATAATTAAGCCCGTAAGATTTTGTAAATCTTCTAGTGTTGACTAAACACTGAAGATAAAAAGGGTTAATCAACACACTCTCAACGTTTTTTTTTTTTACGATTATTGACAAAAACCTGTCTGTTAGGCTACATCTCAAGCATGATTACGTACGATAAGCCAAACGATTCGGTCTCAAAACATCTGCAGGTTAAAATTCCGTGCCACATTGCAACCTGGTAATTATTGTTCTGAAAAATTATGTGTAAAAATAAGCCGGTTTCAATGCAATATTAAATGCCAAGGAGCTTGTAGTGTGTATGTGGCGGGAACTTTAATGATAGGTCTTTTCTATACAGTTTTAACCCATGAGAAGGCCGATACCTACAATAGACCCATGGTTAAGCAAGCTCAGTGACAAAATGGAAGGACGCTTTTTCACCTGGGTCAGCATGACTATTGGTACAGGACACGGACACCTCTTCTCAGAAGCCGGCACTGATTGGAAAAAGACCAATGAGTGCCGTTCCAAGTGGATCACGTCGAAATATGCAATCACAAACTTCTAAAAGTGTACTCATTTGGAGATGTGTGTAGTTCTATTTTTCAAAATATGGCATCATGTTTTATAACAGGCTACGTTGGACTCGACGTGGGGGATCGGTCACATGCTCGGTTCTGTCATCGGTGGAGCATTCGTGAACGTAAGTTGTCCGAATGAGATCAGTTGACCTGATCATACACTAAAGCTGTATCCAAAAACGTGTCTTTAATTGTGCAAAAAAAAAGAAAGGTTTTTTTGTTAGTTCTTTGTAGAATTAGAATAAGTAGTATCTACGCACAGCCTAATGATCTACCGAATATTATGTTAATTATAACATTTCACTCGATTTTAATCCTATCGTAATAAAAGGCGACTTCCAGTGCATTTAGCACCGAAGTATTAGTGTGAGCATCATGTCGTATGTTGATGGAAATTAGTACAGAACATAAGTACAAATAAACCACAGGAAGTGCTGAACGTCGCTTCTTGAAATTTGTTGAGCTTAGCAACATGATATGAAGAACAAATAAAAATGGTCGCCTCGTCTTACATATATAAAACATATATGGAAGAGGAGGCGACCATTTTTATTGCAATAAATATTTATTTTCTGGTGTTTTAGTTCCAGAGTTGCTCCCTTATGTCCTGCGTTCCAGGAAGTGCGGCCTTAATGGTTCATTTTATTTCAGCTGTGGGCATACCCCCTACCCTTCTTTGCGATTGGAATAGTGGCTCTGCTGTCCACACCTCTGCTTGCTACCAGGAGGGCCAAGAAAACGTATGAAATAGGTACGGCGTAAACTAGTGCAATAGAGTGCTAAAGAAATATTCGGGCAAATCTTCAGAAGCGGGAGAATATAGGTTCCAGGTATCTGTGGTACACAGAGTTGTTTTTAGCCGCTTCTTCATGTCCATTTCTTGTAATTGAGGCATTTTAAAAATGACGCATCAGTAGATTACATTTAGGATTAAGCTATATGTGAAAAAAACGTAATGCAAACAAACAAAGGTTGTAACAAAACCCGAAAGATAATAAAAAAAGGTTTCCAGTTGGTGTTAAATTACCTAAAAAAAAGATTTTTTAAAAATAATGCATGGGCAAATTGGCGACGCCATTTTAAGGATAAGCTTCCGAAAAATGTTAGTAAACATCCTCTGCACTGAGACCACCAAACACAAGGTCCGAAACGTAGTATATATATTTACGCAGCTCAACAATTTTTGTACCCAAAAGGCATGGGCTTTAGGTTTGGAATCAAAGAAGAGCCTCTTGGAGGTACCTACAAAAAACTAAGGATTACTATTTTTTTCTTTTTTTTGCTGTATGCACTTTTTTTTTTTTACGAAGCCTACATGGCGATTAGTTCCCCTGAAACTGAAAACCCCACTCCTGAGAACGCCAGACTGCCTAGTCGAATTCAGCAAGGAGCAGATAGAACTGAAAGTACGCCCTTCAGTACTAATGTCTGGACTTCACCAATACTAAAGTGTAATAAAGACATGTACAAGTTGTGGCAATATGAGCTGGCCCATCGGCGTTCAAGGCTGGGCGGCACGCCAGTCATGCGATGGGCATGTAAGCTTCTAAAAAAGATATTAGAATGTACAGCCATGGTTTCCTTTTGTCCTAACGTAGCAGTCCGTTTCATAGATCACTATGCCTTAGGCACCTTATGCGGAATTTCATACCTTTTGGTTAGCACTAAACTGGGCCAGCTCAAATTGCCCCTGACCGTACTACACTAAAAGACACAGTAATTAAAATCGACGTTTATTGAGGTGCATTTGACTGTATTTTTGCACCTCTTTTTGTCAGAGTCTACGCCAGATGACTTGTCAGCAACGCCCATTTCTAGTTACTACAAGCTCCTGGTTGATCCACTCTTCATGATCGACATCGTGTCTATAATGTTAAGTTGGATAATCATGGGGTTCAATGAACCAACCATGGAGCCGCATCTTGCAGAGGTAAACATTTTCGTTTCCTCATTGTGCCCATGCACAATGTTGGGGAAAAACAACTTGTCCGTAACGTTTGTGTTCTTATATGGAAAAACATTTTTGATACGTCAGTGATGGCTAGGTAAACTTTTAAGTTTGACCTGCAAATCTATTAAGACAATAGATAGTCGTAAGCATGAATTAAAATACATAGGCAATTTGGTCCAACAGTTTGAAGATATAAGTGGTAAATGAGTGAATGATGTTTCTATAAGGTTTATTTGTGTTACACTTCAGTGGCTCCGAGGCGAGAGCGCCGGCCTACGGATCCCCAGGCGGCGGGTTCGAATCCCGACCGAGGTGCCCGCAATATGACAGAGCTCGTTGCGGAGAAGGCGCCGTGTAACCGAGCTTTCGGTTGCACGTCAAAAGATTCCCAGGTAGTCAAAATTAATCCTGCCCTCCGCTGGGGCGTCCCAGATGCCCGTCGTAGGTTTGGCACGTAAAACCCCCAAATTTGACTTTTTTTGTGTGTTACACTTTCATACATATCAGACACAAGATTCATCGTTATTTAGAATGATAAATGGAACAAATATACTGACTTTTCATGCAACATAGCTGCAAGATATTTGTATTATTGAAAAGGGCACCTTAGGCGGCATTTCATATCTTCACACTTAAAAACACAGTAATTGAATATTTCTCGAGGTGCATAAATATTTTGGAGCCTCTTTCTCTCAGATTCGACACTGCATTAGTTTTCAGCAAATCCCATTGCTGGGACAAAAACATCCTGACTATTAGGATGATTAAATGTACTCTGTTACTAAACTTTGTTTAATAATTATTTTTTTTACACCACGATTAAATCGCAGAGCTTGCTGCAACACTTAGAGGCTACACCAATTGAAACTAGTTGCGAAAAGTATATATATATATATATATATATATCACATTTCTGTCCCATGATTTCAAAACTTGATTATTGCGGGCTAAATGGGGTCATTCGCTTCACCCAGTGGCCTAGAGCAGTACCATGCGTCATGCCTCATAGTGCAATCACACTTGCAAATTCACGGTCAGAGCCCCGCCGGCGACGAGCGGATAATGGTTCCGGGTGGAAGAAGGGTCGTGATCTTGAGAGTTTTTAGCTCGATGGAACAGCGAACATGGTCACCCGTATCTACGCTTCGATACCCGTCGCCTTTTCAAGAAAAGTCTACTCAAGTAATAAAGCGTACGTACTTACCTTGTGACGAAAGAATTCCGTTTGGCGTTTACTTGAGTTTTGCATAAAACAGATCAGCAGCACCTTGCGACCGGCAACTGCGTCCAACACGCTGTAGTCTCACACCCTCCAAGTCACGACTGGCCTGAAGGAAACGTTTATTTTTCGAAAACCACGAGCCGTCTATTCCGCAAAAAATGACACGAGAACAACGAAGAAACGCAGGAAAAGCAGCGGATCCCAAAACGAGGTCAGCTATTCATGCAGAAAGAGCCAACATGAAACAAAGAGTCGTGCGTTTATTAAACGGCGCTGCAACGCTTTTTTTTTTTTTTAGTTTGCGCTGTCTTGCTTGTGTACGACACCCCTCGTCTTCTCTGCGGCAAAACTTTACCATCTTCGCGCGGTTCTTCCCGTGTGGCGAAGAGAGCGCGGCGGTGCACGACCTAGCGTCAACAAAGTTAAGCCTACTCGTACCGGACGTACTCCGAGCGGATCCAAAAGCTTCCCCAGAGTGGCCAAGAGCAACAGACGACAAGAAAAATTCGAGAAGACACTTAAGACCGCTTACGCATTCCTGTAACCACCGCGCCACGTCTTCCTTTCGCACAAGGCGCTCCGTCGGTAACATCACGCTCCCCACTGCGCAGGCGCGGCGAGCCTCGCAGGCTTCGCGACGGCTTCTGCGACAAAGCATTGCTTTGCTCTGCTTTTCTCTGTGTTTTATTTTTGAGGCGCGCCAGCTTTGACCTTCAACGAACCCAGAAGCTTCCGTGACGAAGCATCTGCGTTGCTGTGTTTTTCTGTGTTTTATTGGGAATGGGCATTTAGGTGCCGTTTCGCTCAGCCATAGGGAATTTTGGTACCGTTTCGTTCAGCCAATGTGAATTTAGCTGCCCTTTCGTTCAGCCAATGGGAATTTAGGTGCCGTTTTTCGCCGGCTTCACTCCATGGTCCATTTAATGCTGTTGCATTAAAATCTCGAGACTTCTCGTCGCAGACGCGACGCTCCGAGGGCAAACGAAAGAATCCCCGCCGGTACATGAAATATATGTAAAAACCTTCGGTTTTCCGCTGCTGCCGGATCCGCTTTGGGTGCAGCATTTTTTCTCAGGTGTAAGCGTATCACAAGCGCACCATCAGTGTCACTATCACTATAGTAACATATCAAGGGTGACAGCAGTGCCAAAGGTAGACTCTGCGCTGCGGCGCGATGCATCAGCGACTCCGATCTACTCTTGACTTTCGACCCTCGCTCGCATACTCTCGGCCGCTCGGCGAAGGCAGCGCAAATCTGCGAAACCACTGAGGCTGTCCAGCATTTAAACATTTCCTTCAGTCACAGCCAAGGTAGAAAGAAATTAATATTTGTTTTAAATAAAATAAATAAGATATATTTCGATTTATTCAGATTTATTTGATTTAAACCAGTGTAGCGGGGAAATTGGATTACTTAACGCAAGGTATACTTTTAAACATGGCAGACTGATCAATCCACCCGATCATTGAAAACAATGCGGGATAAAAAATGCTGTAATTTTGTCGTTAAATGTACAGTTTAATAACAACTTTTTACAGGTGCAAGCCCCAATACTAGAAGAGAATCATCTTAATTTTCTATTGCTCAGTTAGTGAAGATTTTTGCTTTTCTTTTGCGTTGTAGTTTGCTAGCAATAAGGAAATACGTAACCGATGAACTAAATGAAAGTTGCAAAGCTCAATGCTCTGATTTCCTCGTAAGAGCACCACGCCGCTTTTTATTCGTGTTCACTCAGCTCTAAATATTCCTGTTGTTATTTTAGTTAAATGCAAAACAAACGCATTGAGACCTCAAATGAAAAACGAACGACGAAAAAAGAAAGATTTTATTAAATGTTTTTGCGGAAACGATTTGATTGCAATCATCACCAGAAAACCGGTGTGATTTAAATAACAATTGAAATCATCTTTATTTTTATTTTTCTTCTTGGTCATAACAATAACTACAGAGGATGTAAAGGTTTTTCTTCGTTCCCGGTTCGCTTATAATTTTTCTAACTTTTTTTTTTGTGAAAAAAGGGGGTGGGGGGTTTAGCTTTTGTCATTGGAAAAAGGTTTGGAGTGCTCCCATCACGGTCCGGACAACCACTCATACGCTCTGTAGGCTATCGTCAAGTCGTCCGCTATTGTTGTTATTGCCAATGTTTTCAAAACAAAAAAGAGGGAGGAGACGACCGCTAGAAAGCAAGAAGGAAAGCCTGCTGTTTGCTTGGCTGATGTCCTCACTGCAAACATAAACCCGCGCCAAAAATGTCACGCAATTGTTTTTTTTTTTTTCTTTTTTTGTGATCGGCATTTGTTGTGTTTTGTTTGTACAGCCCTTAACCTCGCAGGGAGGAAGTAGTTTCGTTTTTGCCGAACCAATCAATCGGTTACTTTTTATCGCCGGATCCCTAGAGTGAGAGTATGAGCAGAAAGTTTGATCACGTGGTGCAAGACCGCCTGTCGCTTTTGCACCCGGGACAGTCATACACTCCGTTTTAGCCAACCATAACTGCATGTCAAAATAGCGGTGCAAGCACTGTTAAAAATTATGCGGGGGACAGTGACCTGCTAGTCTCTGGCACATCACCAGCATCTTAGCAGCGTGTCGTCGGCGCACCCTCCAAGAACGGGTTACCGAGTTAGCGACGACGTGATTGATATGACTTCGTCACTCCTCTAAGTGCTATTCTGTGCTGGACGTCCGGCGCTATTCTCTTTCATCTTCTATTCTCGGAATCGGGATACAATAACGCAAATACCGTATATCTCGAAACCCATTGCATTTGCGGATATTGTTTAAATATTTTGGCGTCCGCTTATGAGACTGAGAACATCAATTCAACTATTAACAATTTAAATAGTAAAAATGAATTAACAAGTTTGAGTTTATTAGCCCACTAATTTTGAGGGTTATATTTCAATCTAACGTACGCCGATACTAATACACATACAGTGGAGATAGAGTCCACGTACCAGTCAATCATTTAAATACATTCTGGTCAAAATAGAATATGTTTATGCATTAAGAGAATCATTATTATAACCTGAGTTGCTAACATATGTTCTGGTTCCCAAGGGAGTTCTAAACATCTATTCGATGAGACTACAAAACATTAAAACCTAGAAGGTTATGCACTTAAAAATACTTTTTTCCCCAAGACATATGTAGGATGTCCGATGTTGTAATTTTGCTATTTAAAGTCCGATTTGAAGTTTACTTCCTGCGTCAAATGAAGGTATCAGACGTATTTCCGATGTTCACGTTTTGAAGTCCTCGTGTCATGTTTGGGTGTATGTCATTTTACTGTTCTGCATCCTAAATACTCTAGCCGGCAAGCTAAAGCATAATGTTTTCCCTTTCGCAGTTCAATATCAATAGCGCACAAATCGGCGTCATCTTCATGGTTCAATACGCCAGCTATACCGTAGGCTCTGTATGTTCGGCAGTCTTCTGCAGTCTCAAGGTAAGCTGCAAAGTTACAGTTAAGATTGTTACTGCTATTTATCTTTCTTAAAAGGGCCCCTGAAAAGAAAAAAAAAGTTTTTTTAAAAACAGTCTGATTTAGACACGCGTGTCGAAAAATAAATTTTACGCGGAAAAAAAACTTTTTTAGAGCAATATTGACTGCGCCAGACGCAATTTAGTCGGTAGTCACCTCCTTTCCACCTTTCTCTCTCTCGGCACTTCGGGCGCGTGGAGGAGAGGTAGTTCCCGCCTCTTCGTAGTGAATCGGCTTGGCTGCTTTCCCTGCTTGGCTGCGCCCCGCCCGATAGCCATTGCTACTTCCTGGCCGTCTTCCAAAATTTACTCGATCTTACCCCAGGGTAAGGGTTTTGTACCCTTGGCGTTCTAAAACCTACCCGCGTACAGCGTTTTTCGATCTGTGCTGTCACGTGATACGATCCGCCGGAGAAACTCGGATCCATTTGGAGATTTGGAACACAGCCCCTGGCCGGCTGTGTCTGCCGGTCGCACGAAGTACCGCTGGTACCGCGTCGTATCGTGCAGGTACCGTGGTCACCGTGGTGCCGTGGTCGTACACACAGTACATAGTCGTCGCGGTGGACCCCGACCTGAAGCTTCGGTTGCTTCAACGCTGCTAGCAGCTGGGCCTTCGCCCGTACGAGGACACGCCTCGCCAGCCGGAAGGCGTCCGCTCCGATCGCCGCAAGACAACCGCTCGCGAGGAGGCACCCACTTCGCCGCGGAAGGCGGCGAAGCGGGTGCCTCGACGAGTTCGTCCGAGCCGCACGACCCTTCAAGCCGCCGCGAGGACACGCAGTGGTAACTGATTTTTTAGTAAACGTTGAGTGCGGTGCCCGCGTGCCTCACTAAACTCCCTTTACGGGAACCGACATCTAAACAAAAATTGGCACTGACGCGCGCCAGAAAACAAACAAAAGATGGGGTAAACGGGACACACGAATCTCGCAAAGAAGAGCAGAAAAACATAAACCTGTCACCCCGCGCCACTTATTAAGTACTTACGATGACTGACTAACTAACACAAGCAACAAGCCCTCTTCAGAACGCGAGACGCGAAGACGGCGACCATGACAGAAAACAAACTGGCGAAGCTTTTGTTTTTTGTTTTGTTGTAGGATCCGAACGGAAGTTACGATTTTGTAAAACGTTTGTAAACAATTGCGACATTCATTCGATGGATTGTTTCTTAAACCTAAAAATATGTAATTCAAAAGGCGATTTCAAGAGATCACGACGATTTGATAACCAACATCTAAGCTGTCACTCATTCTATTGGCCAATGAGAAGCCGATTTTAATGACCATGGTTACCAATGAGAAGCCGAGCTGAATGACCTGGAATTTGCGCGCAAATTTTCAAATAAATCTCTCGCCGTCAATATTGCTCTAAACATTTTTTTTTCGCGTAAAATTCATTTTTCGACACGCGTGTCCCAACCAGACTGTTTTAAAAAAATTTTGTTTTTGTTTTCAGGGGCCCTTTAAGGGACCCTGCAATCCTATTTCAGCGTCTACCAGTTCTTTTGCGGTTTTCACATCTTGTGTGGTTTGGGAAGCCCAGCGGGAGAGAGTAACTAAATATCAATGCGTCATATTTTAACCGGGCGACGCGGAAGCCTTCTCTACCTACGGGAGCGCCCCGTGGTACCAAACGCGCGCAGCATGTGAAGACATCGCGACGTTGTCGGTCCTGGCCAGCTGCTGCTTTACGGCTGGTCAGAGCAGCTAAAAGCTCCTTTTTTTGTCGAAACACTAAATATAAGTTGCGCGAACTGTTTCAATTAATTATGATAATAATTTTTGCTCAGTATTTGAGATCTGAAAAGAAACAAATGCAGTGCATAGAGGGTATAACGCATGGAAACAAGAAATGACCCGTCGACATACCCGCAACCAAGCGGTGGAAAAGGCGGCGCATACTAGAAAAGGGTAGTGGGATCAGGCGCCGACGCACGCCACGCACTGCTGTGAAGGGGTGAGCGTATACATGGCTTGCACTGACGTCACATCGCATACTTTTGACCACCATGTAAAAGGAGGAGAGGGAGACTGCTTTTGTGTGAATTTTGAGTGAAAGGCTTATTTTTATAATCTTCTGGGAGGAGAATAGCGATGCCTGTGCAAATCCGGGAGGCACAAAAGAGGATCCTGATAAGAGGGGAACTCCTTCTTCCTCTCTTCTCTGGTGGTCATCGGAGCGCACTTTGAATGACGTCACGTGCAACCCATGTATACGCTCACCCCTTCACAGTACATCCGGAGCCTTTCTATAGACCTTTCCAGCGGCAGTCTCGAACGAAGCAATTTACAGCGCGTGTCCCTGGTTTTGAGAGTGTACGTCAGTGTTGCCCGACTGCGCTGAGCTGTGGAGTTTCTCGTCAGTCAGCTGTGGCAGCCTGCGTAGGCGCAATTCCGGACGCTGGTAGCGGCTGAATTGCCGCGTTTTCTTTTTTATTTTGTGTTCTGTGACGAACATAATTTTTAGAGGTCTTTAAGGAAGCAGTGCTCTATTTTTGGGAACAAAAACAAAGAAAATAAAGCTGTTTTGGTGAGTCCGTGCGCGGCAGAACAAATGCAACTGGAATGTTTGTTTCATTTTATGTTGAACGTTTTACGGCACCGTACACTCAGCTGTACCAATCTATATAGGTCAAAATATTTGACCACATAGAATACCCAAACTGCATGGATATTCCCCGCCCACAACATGAAATTCAATGAGTGTCATCAATCGAACAACATACTGTAAACGACTTATTTTTCGCGGGCTCAATATTTCGCGATTTATGTCAAAGCTGAAGTTTTGGAATAATTCGCGGGTTCTAATTTTCGCGACGCGGTGGGATCTCAATATAGATTCCAATGTCTTTACATTTCACCGGAATTGTTCGCGGGACCTATTTTTCCCGAATTATAGGCGATCCGCGGAATTCGCGAAAATTAGGTCCTCGCGAAAATTAAGTCGTTTACAGTATATTGTACGTACCCCACGGTGCCGCGTTATCCGAACAGGATTTGAGAAAGGTCTCAAATAACACAGCATATCCAATGTACAGTGTCGACGATAGTCACTCCACGACAATATCGGACGGAATCCAGCGTGTTTTGGGGAACATGTAGAAGAGAGCAGCTTTTTTCCACAGCTTCAAAGCAAATGAACGAGCGTACGTCTATTCTGTCCCCACACCCCGGACCCGACCCTATCAGTTATTTTTCGCGAAGATCCGGAACACAGCCGGGAAGGCTTTTTGGAGATTATCTCAACGGAAATAATCCTCCAAGACGTCGAACTGCCTGCGTCGCGGGCTGCTTGGCGTTCGCTCTCTTCGTTCGTTTCCTGCGAAGGCTGAGCAGGCTACGGGTCCTGGTATTCTCTGGTTCTCAGAGTGGAAGATAACATACAAAGGATAAGCATCCTAAACAGGCGAATAAAATAAAAACTTCCAAGAAAAGCCGGCGAACTCCGAATGCAAAATGCAGGTGGGGAGTCACGCTGACCGGGTTTCCACAGCTCAGGCGGGTGCCAGAAATTTCTGGCTGATAGGGGTCGCTCGATTCGTAAAATGGCGGCGGCCAGGGCGCTCTTTTTGCAAAGGTCTATAGAAAGGCTCCGTATGTACGAGGCGGTGCTGCGGTCATTTGGGCTGGAGGTTCCGACCGGTTCCGAGCATTCCGAAGGCCTTCGGCGAGCAGGTTTGGCTTGCGGTTTTGCCGTTTAACGGTTTGGCAGCGCGAAGCGGCTGCCGTTCTGAGTTGATCTTTACGCCGTGTTTGCTGTGGTTTGTGGCGAATGAAGGGTCATGCTGAATTAGAATTTAGTCGCTCAGCAAATGTAATGGGAGCCACCCTGGCCGCCCGCTTAATCCAGCCTATCCAGCACATGATTGAGTTGCGCCCTCTCGAGCCGTCGACACGGAGTGCGGCAGCTGTGAGCCGTCGACACGGCCACCCAAACAAGAACCAGGGACCTTATGAAAGAGGTTATTTTTTGCTCGTTTTTGTAATTTTAATTAGCCTATAACTTTTAAGAGGAAGAAAAATTCGAGAAAAAAAACGTTTCCCTAAGTTGCTACGTTAAGTGCGCTCAGGTTCGGTGCGAATTAAAAAGTAGTCAAAAAGTCGTTGCAGGGCCTGTTTAAGCTTGGGGATGAGAACAAAGCGCCTAGGCAAGCGACTGGTGATTCGTTTTATTACATCATAAAATATAAAGGCTATTTTAATATTGCTTTCTTTCATATCATTTTAGATGGAAGCGGGATTCGGACTTACAGGACACCTTCTAGCCATTCTGGCTTACATACTGCTTGGACCAGCACCCTTCATTCCCTACGAACCGTGAGAAAGTTGGAATTCTTAAGGAAAATGCCTGAGCAGCACATGTTCTCGACAAACAACAGTCACCACCCACCAAGAAAAATTACATATCAGATTATAAACAAACAAATTTAATATAGTTTTTAGGTGATTATTATATACTATATATCTAAGAAACCAAAGTTTTATAAAGACACTTGTCAAAATCCCTATGATACATATTGAACCAATATTGCAATGCTAATTGACCATAATGCGATCATAACTTCAACACCTACTGAGTTAACACACCTAAGCAGCCACGACTTACAAATTACATGCTTACATTATATTTAAAGGAATTTTGGAAATGTCACATCTAAATCCTCAACTGGAGCTCGAACAAAAACGTCCTCATTTTGTTTATTTCGGATTTAAATAAATCTGAATGTAACGAAATCTTGGAATTACGAACTTCAAAAGTGTGCTCCACAAATGTTTTTAAAGAAACCCTACTGTAAACGTTAGTCAAAAAATATGAAATTAATTATAATTGTTCTTGCTTATAAAGTGCTCAATTAGATTACTTGACTACCCGAAACTAAAAGCAATTGGGCGTTACTTAAAGGAGCAACCAAAACTCCTTCGAATTAATTCGGGTTTTCAAAACGACAGTTTTCTCCCGGATGACAAATAGGAGTTTCGTACTTTCTATTACTGAAATAAAATCAGCGAATTATAACTTACTTATTCTCTTAATGCAACAATTTTTGTTAACCATCCTCCTGTATATGATTTGGTTCGACGAGACTTTGGCAGGAAATTTATACGAGCTAAAGGTAACCGTTTGAAGTAATTTTAGTACCTCAAAATGTAATCTAATTGCTGTTGTGATTACTTTCTAATAAATGTAGTCTATCTACTATAGAATTCTTCCTAAGACTAATCAATTTGAAGTAATTTGAATACATATCACGAGTGCCGTAATAGTCTACGAATATATCCAGGTGATTGACTCTTTAGTCCGACATCTCGATTTTTGAAACCACTTTGAAGACGCGAAATTTTTGAATGTTTGAGTCCTTCGTTATCTGTAGTTGTAAAATTGAGAAACTCGAAATGTTAACGGTATTTTTATATGCTGCTCTGTTACATACAGGACTTTGTGGATGGCTTACATTGCACAGGTTTTCATCGGAATAGGTACAGCTGCGCAATTCGCCTGTCATTACTGCCACGCAATTAAAGTCGCTATGTAAGTAACTTTTTTTTCCACAATAAGGCGAATGCAGCGAAAGCTGCATTCCGGCATCTCCTATATACACTCTAAAAACTATCACGCTGAAACTCACGCTAACCGGGAGTTTCAAGCGCGGAACTGCCGTCAGTACGACAGGAATGACGTTTTAAGCACCACGTGATCAATAATAAGCGTTTGGTTTCTTTGTCCAAGCGTTACAGCGGTCCGAGGAATCCCGATCGCCCATTTTTTTTCGAGCGGGATCAAGAACGTTAGCGTGACGACCGCAAAACACACGCCTAGATTTTCACTGTCACGCTTATATATATCCGAATGGATTGACCCTCCCGAAGATGCACCAGCGCGTGTTTTTTTTAATTTTTTTTGTTGATGTAAACTGTTTCTGGAAGCACAGAGGGCGCATGCGTCCTCTTTTTTGGCTGGACAAGCGAAAAAGCCGTTGCGCTGTTTCTGTGGCTCGCTGGATTGCTCAGTCAGTTCCCGACACGCTTTGTTTGTGGCTGGACCAGCTTGACTTTGACTGCGACTGGCGAGGCTTAGCGGGAGATGGCGTGCGATTTAGGGCTCAGTGTGCCATGTTTACAGCACTAGACGTGCATGGAGTACCGCGGGGTCGCTGCGATCACAACGAGTGCGAGTGTCCCGAATATCTGCGCGACACTGAGCTGAATGCCTGCCAAGGGAAGGGCTTCCCATTTGGTTGGCGTGTTTACTGCGGCCATTCGCCAGCTATCAATTGACGACTACATTATTTGGGTAACAACCCTGGTTTTATTTGTTTTATTTGTACAAACGAAAATAGTTTTTTTTTTTTTAATAAAGAGTATAACCCCCAAGCTGAAATGTGTTTGCCTTTTTCTATTCAGTTCGTTTTGGACTGTTCCTTTTGGTAACTGAAGCCTAGCCGGATCTCTCTCTCTCTCTCTCTTTGGGTTTTTAGACACCAAGATTAAATTTCCTCAAATTTTCACACAAATTCCACAGCTAGAAACAGCGCGCAGCTAATTGGCGCAATTTGCCAGGCGTAACATGCATTATCTACGCGACGCATCTGGGCAATTTCTTTTGATTCACAACTCCATTTCGTATATGTGCGTATTATTCATGAAGCAGCACGTTAGGCTTCCTTGCAGTACTCAATTCGCCTAGTGAAGTCTCTAGAGAGATTTAGTATATCGATTTAGAGCTTCGATAACGATATCGGATAACGATATGATGCATGGGTGCCCTTGTGTTTATACGCTTATTACTGCGTGCGTTTTCTCCACGCTTTGACGATGACGCCTTCTAGGCGTGTGAAATGCGCGTTGCGGTTGAAACTTGTGGCCACGAGCATTGAGTTTTCTCGAATTTAGTATATCGTCCCTATAACTAAGATTATTAGGACGGTATACTGAATACGAGAAAGCCCCATGCTCCCGGCCAGAGGTTCCCACCGCGACGCGAATTTCACACGCATAGGAGGCGTCATTATCTAAGCATGGAGAAAACGCACGCCCTAATAAGCGTGTAAACACAACGGCCCCCTCACGCCCGCCAAGTGTTATACCATAGCACAGTTCACGCTTGGGAAGCATGAAATTTAAGCGTTGAAAAACACCACGCTTAGAACAAGCGTGTAAAAAATCGCTTTGCGTCACGCCTGCCAAGCTTTCAATTGTAACGCAGTTCACGCTTAGGGAGCGTGAATTCTAAGCGTTGAAAAACACCACGCTTAGAACAAGCGTGCAAAAAATCGCTTTGCGTCACGCTTGCTCTGCGTGACCATTTTTAGAGTGTAGCTTTCTAAACAACACCCATTACGTCCACCAATAACTATGCACCACTAAATCGATAGTTTGCCGCGTGTTCTGCCTTGAGGAGACCTTAGGTAAATTTGCTCAAGAAACATGTCGCAATTAACATCAGTCAGTTAATAGTTTAGATGGGTAACTAAGAGCGACACCGTTAAAAGTTATATATTTCGAAAAACCTGGCATAGATGAAACAAAAAAATACAAAGCTTAGAAAATCAGATTACGTCGGAGGAATGCCTTGTGTTATGCTCCCACAATGCATCGCATTGAGTGACACCCCGCTTTTGCATTGCGTTGGAATCGGTGCCTTGGTGCATACGCCTACCTTGGACGGCTTGGACAAACTAAAGTTCGCAACGTCCCGCAAGCTGTCGAGACTGGCTAGGAAACACCTTCTGCAAGCGCCGACAGATGACGGCTGGGTGCACATTTGGAGGGGCAAGGCGATAAGACGCATAGGGATGGAGGCCGCAGGCCGTCACGCTACACCGTGAGACCGTGACGTAACACCTTGCAACCGAAGATCGCCTTTGACGTTTTCCTTCGGCAATTTTGGCGCCGAGCAGATGGGCACGGGAGGTGTATCACTGGGGCGCTTGCTAACCCCATCAGCAGACTGTCGCCGCGAAGTGGGGTTATCGGAGGGGGGGGGGGGGGGGGGGGGGGGGGCACAACCCCGCCTCGCGGCGGCAGCCTGCTGAGGTCTCCGTACAAAATATTAACCCACCTTGACTCTCCCCCCCCCCCCCCGCTCCCCCCCCCCCCCCCCCCCCCCCCCCCGTACACGCCGTTTCCAGGCACTGCGCCGACGGCCCAAGCACCTCCTAGCCCCGCTGCCCCCCACTGCTCCTCTGTTGTTCGGTGTTACGTCACGCCGCCGCTCTCCATACCCAGCCGATCCTGTGCGGCCGCTGTTGCTATGCGTTCTATCGCCTGGATTTTCAATATAAGCGGCCGGAGCGAAGCTGCGCGCTTTGGAAGCGCTCGAAAGCTCCTGCCGCCGGCTTTTCATACCTGTGAACGCACAAGGGCTTCGGTTCTGTTCTTCGGCCTGCCACGCAGTTCGTTACACGCAGGCGTCTTACCGTGTCACCAGGTCGTATGCCCACGGTGTCGTCGCCCCTATGTGCACAACATGTATGCACAGCAACAAAATGGCTTTGTCATTTTCCGCGCATCGCGCGGTCGTCCTTCATGCACACGCTAAGTAACCTGATCAGCATGCACCAAGGAGAAGAGTGTTTCGGGAATGTTCACTCTGCCGAAAAATGCTGAGACTGCATTTACCACGCTTTGTTATATATAACCGCTGCACGAAATTCTAGAGCATTTCTGAGAGAATAAAAGTAGCGGAAGCAGCGAACCACTTTTCTTATTTTCTCAGAAATATACAAAAGTTTTCAAATCCTGCGCGTAGCTAGTGTAAGCCGTCATATTCAGTTTGTGAGTATTTTTCTTGTCGCACCTTTCTTTACGAATCATTAGAAAAAATGAAAAAAAAATGCCACTTCACACCCTCATTAAAAAAAAAAGCCTTTACCGGTTAGAGTGTAGATATTCAGTGCAAAGTGTGTTGTACCATTATAAGACGAAACTAGCCCTTTTGTAATGTGAAAGAGTTTTTTTTTAGGTTTAATGGAGTTTTAAGTAGTAATTACCCCATGCAAAGAAAACGATTTCTGATATTATTTTTTACTAAATATGCCAGACCTTAAAATATTGTGCAAGAGGCATTTAAGTTTTACATGGGCACATACATTTATTTATGTTCACTGGACACATTTATATGCTTTGTTTTACACAAATTTAAGAGGATACTGATGGTTATGTAATTTTGCAGAGATCGCGGATATCCAGACACAGCGCGAACAGTCGGTTTCGTGTCCGGCGTTGTTTTCTCCTTCATTGTAACAGGGTAAGTTGTAAGAAACTATCCGACAAGTCATAGATTTTGCATAGACAACGAACAAAATTAAAAAGAAAATCTTAAAGGGGCCCTGCTAGGATTTTTTTTCTAATTTTTAATTTGCACCGAACCTGAGCGCGCTGAACGTAGTAACTTAATGATTTTTTTTCTTTTCTCGAATATAGCTTTATTTTAAAAGTTATAGGCAAATTAAAATTACAAAAACAAGTAAAAAATACCTCCTTCATTACGTCCTTGGTTGCTTTAGTGGCCGTGAACTAGACGAGAGGGAGTGAGCTCAGCGAGCGGTCACGGCTGCCGCATTCCGTGTCGACGGCGTGAGAGGGCGCCACTAAAGCGTGTTCTGGATAGGCTGTATGAAGCAAGCAGTCAGGGCGACTCGCATTGCATTTGCTGCGCGATTAAACACTAATTCGGCATGACACTTCATTGGCCACAAACGACAGCAAACAAGGGGTAAAGATCAGTTCAAAACGGAAGCCACTTCGCGCTGCCTTACCGCGAAACGGCCAAACTGCAAGACAAAGCTGCTCGCCGAAGGCCTTCGGAACGCTCGGAACCGGTCGGATCCTCGAGCACGTATACGACCGCAGCGCCGCCGCATACATCCGGGACCTTTCTACGCTCGCCGCTCGTTAGTGCCTGATCCCACAACACATTCCTAGTGTGCGCCGCCTTTTCCACTGCTTGGTGGCGGGTATGTCAACGGGTCATTTCTTGTTTCCGTACTTTCTAAACTGCATTCGTTTCTTTCCTGATTTAAAATACTGAACAAAAACTACTTTTATAAATAATTGAAACGGTTCGCGCCACTCATTTATTCTATTTGGACTAAAAAAAAGCTTTTAGCGGCTCTGACCAGTAGTAAGCCCAGGATCAAACACGTCACACATCGAGCGCTTTTGGTACTGCGGGTCGCCCCCGTCGGTGGAGGAGCTATCCGCCTCATCCGGTTAAAATATGATGCAATGATATTTAGTTACTCTCTTCGTGCCCGCTGGCTTGTCCGAACCTCAACAGACGTGGAAACCGCAAAAAAGGTAGATGCTTAAATACGATTGCAGGGCCCCTTTAAGCGCAAATGTTTTTTTTTTTTTTTGTTTTTTTTTTTTACATACATCTTGTTTTTGATTTTAGCGTGCGTGTCGCGGCGCCGACCTCAGTGATGCGCCATAATAAACTTCGATCTCAATTTGTTTGTAATTGGCTACTGGTGCCAGTCATGAGCACACCACCAAAAAACAGCAAATATTGGCTTAATCAGTCCACCCACACTTTATTGATAGAGGCAGACTGACACTCAAGGGGTGTTGAAAATTATTGATTCAACAAGAAAAAAAGTAGTCACATAATCCAAAAATATTGACTAGAACACTGGACTCGGTACGGGTCAAACATATTTAGTTAGCTGAGAAAAGTTTTGCAGGAATACTAAAATTGGAGTTAGCGGTTCAGCGAATGTAAAATATTTCTTAAATAATTGAATGCTAATAATGATTACTAAATAGATTCATTGCAATGAACTCTCGCAATAGATGTCGAGCGGCGCAAGGCAGTGAATTTAGATACTTATATTCCATTGCCTGAATCAAAGATCTTAAATTGTTCAACATCAGCATAAAAACGATAACATAAAAACACCCAAATGTACCAAGATGAAACTTAGCATTTGCGCTTGATAGGTACACAACATGAAATCATCTGGCGTACACCAATGAAAACACGCCTTTTCCACGAGGATACATTCGAAAAAAAAAATAAGAAAAAATGTAGTGTTACAGATTTTTGTCTCATATCATACACCCTACAACTTCAGTTCGACGTACAGCGCACTGATGTGGAGCTGACGTCCCCAACTTCTATGAGGGGCTTGAGAACGGTGCGACATAACTTATTAAACAGCTAAAGTATGTATCAATAACTATAGAAAAATAAAAGAACAAGCTTTTGCTGTAGGGCCAATAAAAAAAGAGTATTCTTGTTGTTGTATTCATTAACACGAACATTAGCTATCTAACGAGTTGTACACTCGGCTATCAAGCCGCTCGTGAAAGTTTGTATCCTCGGTTCCACGTCAGTGAACTGTCCGTCGAGCAGAAGTTTTGGGTGCTTTATATTGGACAAGGGGTGTAAGAGCTGAGCTCTTTCTTTGAGTGTGTAGGCACAAAATTTCGCAAAATGTCAACCGCGACGGTTTTTTTTTTGTTTTTTTTTTACCTTTTTTCGGAGCGGCACATTAGCAGTTATGCTGCAAAAATGCTAAAAACAAACTCATAGAGATTGCTTTTCAATCATTCTCTCTAACTATGCGCCTGTCGGGTGAGTAGCTCCTTTCATAACTTATCATTTCTTTAGTAACTTGATACAAAATACCCCACTTGTTTTCCAGGTTTACGTGGGTGTACCTCATTTATGTTTCTGGTGTACCTCATTTATGTTTCTGGTGTACCTCATTTATGTTTCTATTTTGCTACAGTGCCATAGTGACGTCCCCAATTGCCGGGTATTTGGTGGAGACATTCGGATTCAGAAAAGGTTCAATGGCATTACTGGGAGTACTCGTGCTTTGGGTAAGCAGCTAAGCTGTTTGACTCAGGCCGCAATAGGTCGGAAGAAACGCGAACTGCGAAGATGAAAACTAATCCTATCAGAACTTACAAAAAAAATAATTTCCACGCGTTTATTTTTTCTAAGTGTCTAGCGTTACGTCCGACGTAACCCAAGTTACGTCCAAATATTCGCCTTCCTTTGTTCACTGGGGAGAGAGAGGAGCGGGGGGGGGGGGGGGGGGGGGGTGAGGTATACGCGTTTCAGCGCTCCGTCCGGACGTAACGCTAGCCACAGCGTTATTTTTTTTTTTTTTGCAAACGTTCCCACAATCGCTAAGATCTATGCAACGTACCCGGCAAAAGACAGGGGTTAACAGAAAAAAAGTTTTTGACATAACAATAAAATGTCTGCGACGTGAAAATAAATATTGCGTTTCACATGCTCCTTCTGTATTCGGCGTCACATAATTACCTAAATTTTGTGGAAAAATAGACAGTTATCCCGCCGTTTTTTTGTTTTTTTTGCGGAGCTCTTTCCACAGATCACACGAATGGGATAATTGAGCCCTGGATGGCAAACCACACGGGCGTATGTTTACTTAGATTGATCAGTGCCCAGACCCTTCTCATATACAGACTGACAGGTTAAAATATGAAGGACGTGCGGCTTATCGTGATCACGCTTCGTAAGAAGAGTATCTCGAAGAGGTGCTTGCTAAACGTCATCTGGGTAAGATCATAACAAATAATCTATTTGATATATATGCCTCGACCGATCAATTACTGAGAGGCTTGTGTTTATGCTATAACTAAAGTTCGGTGTTTCATTTTTTCCCTCCAAATGTAATGTGTACATGCTGCCTTTCCTTTCTTCTTTTTCTTTTTTTTTTTGGGGGGGAAGGGGGTTTTGGTGTTTTTGTGTAAATTTGTCATAACTGAACCTGTTTATACAAAAACCACAATAATATTTGGAAAGAAATGAACCCCGAAAAAACACACCCCCGTATTACAAACAAGATAAACACCGAAAACACAAAACCCTGGTTTTATTTTATTTATTAATATACATAAAGTGAACTGATTTTTTTTAACGTCATATTATTACTGTCGCAGGTTCCAGCAACGTTCATTCAATGGATTCGGCCGGCCTGGAAACAAAATCTGACGATGTGATGAGCAGCTCGTGAAGTAAAGTGACATTGCAATTTTTATGCACGGATAATAAATGTTTGACAAACACTGAAAACTCGATTTCTTCAGTACAAACTTAGAATAATTTAAAATTAACACATTAAGTAAGTTTTCTCAACCAATCAGAAAAATAAAATAAAACGCCTGAGCTCAACAATCCTTACAACGAAAAATAAAATATTATTTTTTCTGACTAAGCCTTCATAATCTTAGGCAGAATTATTTAGAAAATATATTAAATATGTTTTATTTTTATGAAAAATTTGTGGAATTATTGAAGCTTTTGAATGGTATCTTGGCGCAATAGTTATACGCTGACTAAAATAAAATAGTCGTAATTGTCTTCAGATCAGGACGCTAAAGCTGCCTATTTCAGTTAACCATGACATGTATCACCCCTTGAAATGTCTCAAATAAAAATATTGAACTTTAATTGATTTTCCGAGATCATCGCAGCTTTGTGAGGATACTTTTGTCAGTGAACGGCTTTCTCGCAGAAGGTTGCGGCATTCACAGTGCTCATGTCAGCATGTTCGATTAAATACCAACTCCACTGTTTTCATGAACGCCCATAAGTCCTTGTTTGTTTCACGGCGATACACTCAAAGCATAAGCCAGTGGCCTTCCTTCAGTCAGTTGAAGTAATGTGAACCGTAATCGGTATCAAGCTCAATTGGTGATGCAGCTTAGGTCCCAGAAGTGGTTGGCGCCTTTTTGCTAACGTGACCGCTAAAATATTGCCAACTCTATTGCCAAGATGACAATAAAATACTTTTCATTATTAACAGTATAAAGCAGCATGTGCCAGGGATAACTTTCTTGGGATGTTACAGCATCGCCTTAAGCATGCTTGTGAAGACACCAAAAATAGTAGACTGGAGATTCTAGCAGCACTTAAGGGGTATATTTTTACGTGCAGCATCTTTACAAGCAACAAGCACCACATGGAGTTTTCAGATGCACACAAACATCAAACACACACGGAATGAATATAGGCGCGAGTTCTGAATCAAAGTCGCTCTTTCGTAGCTGACCGTCATAGCAATTAGAAAGGTCACACTTGTGCTGCTCTCTTATCGTTAATAATTTACGTAAAATATAACATAGATAGGTTCAAGGAATATATATTTAAGTAAAAAGCCACGGTACAAAAAAAATAGTTCCCTAAAATTAAAGGAACATCCATTCGTGGATTTTTAGGGAATCCCTAGGCCTGACCCTTGGGAAACGCCTCACACATCCCCCTTCGGGAAACGCTAAGACTGATGCCTTCAGTAACCTGTTTAGGCTTCCTGGCTTTGGCTTTCTCTCTTCTTCCTCCCTTTTTTGCTGACTCTTTTTAGCTTCGCTTCATGGTCAGTGTAAACATCCCCCCCCCCCCAAAAAAAAAAGCGCGGGGGGAGGGGGGGGAGAGGATTCCGAGTCAGAACATCCAACGCTTCAGAACATCCATCGAGTCAAAACATCCATTCGTGGATGTTTTGTCTCGGTGGATGTTCTGACTCGATGGATGTTTTGACTCGGATGGATGTTCTGACTCGATGGATGTTTTGACCCCATGGATGTTTAGGCTCGGATGGATGTTCTGACTCGATGGATGTGTTGACCCCATGGATGTTTAGACTCGGATGGATGTTCTGACTCGAAGGATGTTTTGAGTCTATGTATGTTTTGATTCGGATGGCTGTCATTAATAATTTGACGAGTATAATGTTCTATCGTTTTTTGCCTGAAAAGAGAGAGCTGTTTTGTAAACGACTTTTGACGTTATGGTAAGCAAGGACCGTTTGGATACGCTCCTAGATAAAATTTAAAAATTTATGAAGGACAAAGTTGAGTTCAATATTTGACGCAAGTGGATAGGATATGTTCTTATTTCTTTACTATTATTTAAGCTGTGAACTGCCTTTACGATTTTGTTATCTTATTGAGACCTTGTCAGTTATTTGGGCTATTCAGTAAAAGTGGGTTTTTATATTATTTTGTGATCCCGATTTCTTCAATTTTTCTTTACCAGTGTTAGTAACTTTTTTTTTTTGCAAGATCATTGCTGTTTCTTTTCTTGGTCCCTGCTTGAACCACTCATGGTCTGTCGTTTTTATCAATAAATAAATAAACAAAATATTAAAGTGTATATTGTCAGGGGCATCTAAACGGACCTAAATAATTTTTATTTCATTTTATCACGTATTAAGGGGTGTACGCTCGTCAGTGAATCTGTGTCTTTCTTGTAGCATAACGGAGCGTAAAACAAGAAAGTATGTCGGTGGTCCACTCCGTAATAAAATCAGGTAGGACACGACGGCACAGTTGCAATGGCTCTCAAAAGCGTGGTTTAAGATTTTAATTTACTTGCCTTACCGGTAAAATACGCTGCTTTGCCGTCTTGGCGGTGTTTTATTTGCTGTCGTTTGACCCGTGCAGCTCGAGAGCACGCTACTCTGCGATTCGTGGCAGCTACGTGACCCACAGACAATGGACAAGGCCTTTTGAATCCATATAAAAATGAGAGGTATTTAGATCGCCTTTGAAGAAACCAGCTAGTGTGACAGCCATCCCTTAATTTCAGCTTGGTGTATGTCAATGCATTCCTAAGAGGTTCGGAAAGAAAAGTGTATTTTTGTCAGGCAATGTGGGGTAACAAAGTTTAGCCATTCATTCAAAAGCAACGTGATAAAAATCATTCAAATGACAAGAACGATATTATTATTCACATGAAATCTTAAAGCACTCTCAAGCTTGTGATGGTGACACATTTTTCAAAACAGAACGGCCCTGTTTTAAAAGAATTTTGCTTCGCCGTATTAATTAAAAAAACATTTTTTTTACATGTCGGTTGGAGTAGCAGAACGCGTGATGGGCTGGCTCTGGGTCTGCGCGATTGCTCGAGGGTCCAAAATACTGTTGTCGGTGAATTATGCAGCGTTAGCCCTTCAGAGAAATTAATTTCACGTCGCCAGTCAATTGCCTCCATTTTTGTGTTTAATCCTCTGAATTATTTCAAGTCGCTCTTGTCCCAGACGTTCACTGTGATCGGTAACGTTATTCCGAGAGAATCGTAGCTTTAGTTCGTGGTTTTTCAAAGTTAGTCTCACTCTCGGACAAGGCACTCTACACGGATTTGCTCAATTGTATATAAATACTAGTTTTTAGATTACGGAAGCACTATTGGAACAAATTTTACAGTTTTGTTGTTTCATGTATTACAACATTTTAGGTATTTGTACCCTGTCGTAGTGTCTCTACACTCATTTTTGTCACGATTACTTTAACCAGAAACAACGTAGTGCATATCGTTCGCATAAAGTCATTTGGTTGAATAAGACACCAAGACATCATGAGGCATTCAAAGAGCTTTATTCAAGGAAACTGGCCCATGTGTGCTGTTCAGTTTATTCTACGAAAGAACTCCAAGGATTGTAATTCTGTCCAGATAGTTAAGGACATCGTGAAATGTCGGGACTGCAGATGACAAATAGCTAAATATACTCAGTGACAAAAATAAAAAACGAAGACGAGGGACCCTACATCCAGGACACTGACAAAGGTAATTGATCAGGTGTATGCCCGAAACTGGCACTTGGCGAAATTCGCAGTCTCGAGCCGGAAAAAATGCATATATATTGTTTTCTTTTCTTTTCAATTCAAATAATAGTTTTGAATCAGACGGATGTTTTGACTCTGATGGATGTTCTTACTCAATGGATGCTTTGACTCAGATCGATGTTTCGACTCTGGTGGATGTTCTGACTCGATGGATATTTTGACTCGATGGATGTTTCGACTCAGATGAATGTCTTGACTCGTTGGATGTTCCGACTCTGGTGTCACGTGACCTGTTG